AGTCTTGATTGTTAATCCCTTCAAATAATATCCTAGAACTTGATTTCTTTTCATTTTTATCTTTGTCCTTTCTCACAAAGCCTTTCAAAATTTAAATAAGTTTCTTTTGTAAATCCAATAAAAAAAGTTATTCAGGTACTCTTTTGATTTGTTATTTATATATCCATTGTCAAATCAGTCTTAGCCTTTTCTGAAAAAGTTTCTTTCTCTCCCAAACCATATTTTAAATCTATGTATAGTGGAAGACACCCTTAAAATTAACTTCTGGGTCCATTGTTCACAAATATCCTTCAATGTGTTCAATCTCAAAAGTATTTTGTTCCATTCTCTAAGGTAAATTTAAGTGTTCTCCTTTAATTGTAATCTTTTTTTCCCTGTAATATTCAATCTTCAAAGTTGCATTCTATCATAGGAAGGAGACTTATAATTAATTTCAAATTTTATTTCAAATCCATCTGGACTCTTTGTAACTTTCCAAAATCAACATTCTAATCACCCTTTTGCTGTTTATTTCCCCCTCCCATTATCTGTTAGTTCTTAAACTAATTTTGCTAAGGATTGAATAAAACTCACCTGGTGATATGAAACTTGCAAGGTTCCTAATAGCTGAAAAGTCAACCATTGATGGAGCCATCAGTACAGATACCAGCATGGTTTTTCCAAAACAAACATTCAAGATATGAAAGCAAAACATCAAACGTATCTTGGCCTTTAGATGTTTCTTGTGTACCAGAAAAGGTATTATTGAATTTCACTATCATTTACAAATCTTATCACTGCTATAGCATGATATTTATTGGTAAAATCTGTTGAGTCATCAACTTGGCTAAAAAAAGCTTATCACAGAAAACCTCTTCATGTGATATGCCATCAATATGCCAAACTTTCTTTTCAATCTCTTGTACTACGTCTAGTCCTAGAATTTTTCCACTATGTTTTTACATGCTGGCATGATTATTTTCTCACTCAAATTGTGACTTTTCAGTTGTTGCATAACAACATCTGCTATGAAATAACAGAATTATTGAAATTTCCTGGCTTTGTTTGTTTTTTTACTGACTGTCATTTTATTAACAAAAGCTTTTCTTAGTTTGCTCTATGATTCCAACAACTGTTTAAGATCATCAGAATTTTTATTTGTCATGTGGTTGTGATTTGTAGTTATGTATCTTTAAAATTTTGTTGGAAACTTTGCTTCATTGGTAAGTTTTTTTCCACAGATGAGGCACAACAGAATAGGACAATTTGGATCATCGGTCCGTGTAAAACTCATTGATAAATAGGCTTCATTGTAAGGACTGACATTTTTTGAGTCTGTTGATGTACCAGTGTGGGGAAAATGCCTGAAAAGATTTAAATTCTTTGTTGTCATTATTAAACTTAATGATATTGACCATTCTAGATTCTTCATCTTCTCTCTTATCTGTCCTCTTCAAAAATCATCACAATGGACTCATTCAGGTTTACATCTTGATATGTTGGAGATTTTTTTGGGGTGGATCTCAATGGATCACGGGAAAAACTAGATCTTCAGCAAATGTATGGAAGTAGATGAAATATGCTGAGGTATGCATTTTAAAGAAAATTCAGCATGACGTTAGAATGAAAACTTATAGCTTACTTTTTATGTTCTGTGAACTTTAAAAACTCTCACAGAATCCTAATCACTACAGTTGAAAGGCCATTTTCTCTTTACAATCTGCTACGCAATCTGTTGCTGCATTTATTCAGCCTTTGAGGTCAGGAACAAATTGCTCTGACAAAAATAGATAGGGCTTTAGAAACTATTTTGGGTTAAATGATTGGAACATTTATTCTGTCTCTTTAAGTTTTTCAAACTGTGAGGTATATAAGAAATAGAAAACTCAAACATTGTAGATTTCTAAGGGTTTTTTTTTTTCTTTTAATGTTCTCATTGTCAGTGCAAGATTACCATCTGGCATTTTCAGTCATGTACAGATGGACAATGGTAAAAGCATTATATAAAAAATAGGCACATAATAAAAGTTTTTAATGATTAGAGATTGATGCCACTGAAAAGGAACTTTTTCTTGGTTTTTCTATGAGATGCTAGCAATCTAAATCTTACAAGTACATGGATCATACAGAACACTGCTCTCCTTATGATACAAAACTAGCTTTATTTCTAAAAAAAATTAAGACATGGAAGAGATGATACAACAACGTATTGAGTTGAAACCAGAAATCTTTCCATGTGGACTTTTACCGGAAATCTATAATAAAGAGAATGTATATTTAGTTATTCATGTATTAACTGCAGCTAGAATTGTATTAGCACAACATTGGCAGAAAAAGTCCTATTGAAGAGAAGGTGATAATGAAAATATTAGAATGTGCAGAAATAAATAGATTAATGTTAGCTTAATGTTAATTAAGATTAACATTAATTTTAAGATTAACGTTAAAGGGAAAGAGCAAAGTGAATATTATATGATATGGAAAGTATTTTATCAATGGTTGGAGAATAAAAATGGAGTTTGGAAATGAAGGAGACCAAGAATAAGTATTAAGAAAGAGTTATAAATAAGATGAAAATTGTTAGCATATATGTATGAAGAGAATAATGATGTTTGATGTTAACAGAGTATTATTATTGAAAGATGCTAAGAAAATGGGGAATTTTTACAATATTTAAATGTGTAATATACTTAACATATTATAAAATTAATGTTAATGTAAACATGAAAGATGTGATAAATGATGAATGATGTAGCACAGACGACATACTGCATAAGGAAAGATGGAATGTTTTATATTTTTGTTTTTTTAAAAAAATAAAAAATATATATAAAAAAAATCCCTAGCTTTATTTCTCAGATTATCTGAAGAGTGGGACACATATTAACCCAATACAACTATACCTCTCCTTTAGACCTCCAAGACGAATGCAGGGAAGCCTAGAGAGAAAGGTGCATGGGAAGCATTTTCTGACTTTGATAGTCAAACCATTTCTATGGTAAATGCCTGAAGACAACTTCCACTGGAAAAGTAAAAGTATGTGTGTACAGTGCTGATCTATATGGAAAGGCTTAAGAAGGATGACTATATAAATAACATAAATTGTCTTAACTTTAACTTTCAAGTGATTCATGGAGAGCACAGTCATTTCTTTGATGCTTTCATTCTACATAGAAATCACAGCTTCTTCTTCTTCTTCTTCTTCTTCTTCTTCTTCTTCTTCTTCTTCTTCTTCTATTATTATTATTATTATTCTTTATTATTATTATATTATTATTATTATTATTATTATTATTATTATTATTATTATTATTATTAGTTTGATTTATATGCCCCCCTTCTCCGGAGACTCAGGGCGGCTTACAATGCATTAAGCAATAGCTTTCATACTTTTGTATACACCTGCTTAGTAGGGCTTTCGCCCCCCCCCCCCCCCCCGGAGCAGTGTTCTATTTTATACAAAGTCAGCTTATTGCCCCCACACACCGGGTCCTCATTTTACCTACCTCAAAAGGATGGAAGGATGGAGTCAACTTTGAGCCTGGTGAGAATTGAACTTGCAGTAATTGCAGGCAGCTGGCAGCTAAGTGCTACTTTTAACAGTAGTTTAGTCTGCTGTGCCACCAAGGCTCTTATTATTAGTTTAATTCAAGCATTTTAAGACCTGAACTGAAAAGCTTCTTGCATCTGCAATAGTGAATATAGCTGCAGGTGAGCAACCTGAAAACCACTGCCTGTGTAGCTCTCTTTAGGATTACAAGTGTGTTTTTATGTACACCCAAACATCTATTCTGAGAGAGAGAAAAGCACACACACATGCATATGGAAAGATGTGCACACATACACACACACACACACACACATATATAAACATAAATCGGAGCCAAAACTATTTAATTTGATTTTATTCTACTTTTAAATTTTGTATGGATGTGTTTTTATTGTCTGGCTGTGCAGCCCTGAGTCCTTCGGGAATAGGGTGGTATAGAAATCGAATAAAATAAAATAAATAAATAAAATAAAATAAATGTAACTCTGCATGTGTATGTGTGGGGGGGTGGAAAGTACTTTTGAGTTGCTCTTGATCTCTGGTGACATTTCAGACAAGTCCATGCAGTTTTCTTAAAACCATTTTCAGAAATGGACAGCCCTTTCTAGGGCTGAGAGAGTGACTGGCTCAAAGTCACTCAGCTGGCTTCACACCTAAGGCAGGAATCAGTGACGAAATCCATTTTTTTTTTTTACTACCAGTTCTGTGGGTGTGGCTTGGTGGGCGTGATAGGGGAAGGATACTGCAAAATCCCCATTCCCTCCCCTCTCCTGGGGGAAGTATATTGCAAAATCTCCATTCCCACCCCACTCTGGGGCCAGCCAGAGGTGGTATTTGCCGGTTCTCCGAACTACTCAAAATTTCTGCTGCCGGTTCTCCAGAACCTGTCAGAACCTGCTGGATTTTACCCCTGGCAGGAATAAAGCTCAGTTTCTTTGCTTCTAGCTTGAATTTTAAATCATTTTAATAAACCAATAAATATTATAAGTCTCCTACCACTGCAGGCACACGGTTATTTATGTGTGTTAAAATTTGTTTAAAGCACAATGCAAAATGTAAATTAGCTTTGCTAATTTAACATCGAAGTGTGGCTGGCCGATCCTTTTCCGGGTCAGGCTTCAAGGAAATGGAGTTTAAAGTGAACGGCTACAGTCTGAGAGCTCTTTGATTTCTCCACATCTCTGAGTAGCAGCTGTCTTCACAGCAGAAAACACTGACCTTATTCCCCAAATAATACCTCAGTTCCCACAATAAACTAAAATGCTCGTTTGCTGGGTGTACATGTTTTAGTTTTTTGAAATGACAGAAGAAATGTGCTTAAACACTGAAAGAGAAAGCATTTAAAAGATCCTCAGAGTGCAGTCGTATTTTACAACCTGATAGCTTGATCCAAATTTTCAGTGCAAGGGAATTTGACCAGATGAAGAAGTTACCATTGCATTATATCTGCTATTACTTGAGAAAGACTTACATTTCAGAATATACCGGTACATCTGATTCCGATCCATCTTTTGTTGATCAGTAGAACAGACTAAGCAGAGACCCTGCTTACTCACTGTATATTTTCGGTTACCATAGCATTTATAGAATGCAGGTGAGATTCATACTAGCTGGTGAGAATGAATTCTCTTCCCTGTGATCCATGGAACACTGCATAATGCAGTTAATGGAGCAACGGTTAAAATACAGCCCAGATACAAACTAGTATCCTACTAACCTTGCCTTTTCAAAATGTGTACTTTATGCGCAAGAGAGCACTTCATCTTGATGTTTTTCAGAGGTTCGGGGCCCTGAATCGAATTAAGAGAACAATTTGGCCTCATCATAAACCAACCTCCCATTTTATAAGCCATCTCCAGTCACTTTGATTTTATATCTGTTAAATTTCAAGGAATAAGTTCACGTCATCAATTAAGTGCTTCAGCTAAGGAAACAATTCTCCATTAAGGCTGTCTCCCCTGTAATAATACCTGTAATGTGAATGAACAGCTTTCATCTGCAGACACAGGCTGAACAGAAAGAGCAGAGAGAGGTAGAGGGGTTAGCATGAATAAATAGTTAGAGAAAGAGTACCTGACAGATGAAAAATGAAGAAAATGAGAGGAGATATTTATATTCCTGAAAAGGAACATAGAAGAAATTTGAAAGGGAATAGTTATATAAAGCAAGCATGGAAGAGTTATGCTGGAGAAAGGATTTAAAATATATCACCCTATCAGAAAAGGGAGATAAAAAAAAATAGGGGAAAATATAAGGGGGAAATGGTAGCAAAATCCAGGTAAAAATAAATAATAAAATAAGATAAAATAAGTTAAGATAAAATAAGATAAGATAAATAAAATAAAATAAAATAAAATAAAATAAAATAATAAATTCACTCAGTAAGACTAAAATAGGATTTACTCCAAGCTAAATACAAAATCGTAGCTGAAGTTCCCTGGTATTCAACAGAATACATTTGCCCAGGGATGAGTTCTAACATTTTTTACTACCGGCTCTGTGGGCGTGGCTTATTTTGTGGGCATGGTTTGATGGTCATGTGATAAACAATTCTTTAGGATTTAGCAGAGGTACTGGTCTACCAGGGTTTTAGCTTGCAGAGCTATACCGGTCTATCCATTTGTTTTTGGAGCTCACCAGTCTACCATCACACTGCCTTTTACCACTGATCAGCTGTAGGGCAGCCCTTTGAAACGCCGTGGCAAGAGTTTAAACAGTTTTTTGCCGCTCTGCCACCACTGAGAGCATCAGAAACCGCTTTCAGGCAGCTTGGCCTCAATTGCCAGTCTTGGCAAAGAAGAAAAAAACAAAACACCTTAGCTTTAAATTGAGAAGCCAAGAAGCCTCCCAATTGATTGGCTAGAACCGATCTGCTCCTTGTAAACCACTCGGTGGTGGTAGATTGGCAATTGAGGCCAAGCTGCCTGAAAGCTCTCAGTGGTGGCAGAGCAGCAATCTATGTGAGGTTTATTTGAATCCTCTATTTCTCAATAGCAATCATCACAGAGCATCTTTTGAGGCTTAATGCTGAATCCATGTTCCTGATTCCTTGATTAGCTAAGTAGAAATCAAGACTCCTTTACTCTCCAAACGGCAGACCTATTGTATAGGGGCAAATAAACAAACTGTATTAGAGCCAATTTGAAGAAAGGGAATTTCAGAATTTCTATGAGCAGAATACTAATACAGATACTGTACAAAATGAATGAAGAAGAGATTAATTTTATAAAAAAACATGCATGGAGATAGAAGAAAAATAATAGATGCTATGAAAAATGGTATAGAAAGGATAGCGTGGAAAGCAAATATTAGCTTATATGATACAGAAAATATTTAATAAAAATGCAACATGGTTGGAATTATTTAGATCTAGAGAAGAATAGAAAGATTGGTCTTTTTGCCTTTGGAGGCAGTAAATAAGTTTCTGTTCCAATTTATCTACTGCTAGTGGTTATTTGAATGTTCAGCTATCTGTATCCAGAACTCATTGCCAATGGACATCTATTCATCAGCACCTCATGACCTCCAAGTCTAGTTTGGCAAGGAAAGCCATCTCCTTTAATAGCAATAGCACTTATATGCCACTTCACAGTGCTTTACAGCCCTCTCTAAGTGGTTTACAGAGTCAGCCTATTGCCCCCAACAATTTGGGTCCTCATTTTACTGAGCTTGGAAGGATGGAAGGCTGAGTCAACCTTGAGCCCCATCAGGATCGAACTTTTGGCAGTCACCAGAATTAGCCTGCAATACTGCATTCTAACCACTGAACCACCATGACTCCTTTAAGAGAGACTGCAGGGAAAGTGCCCACAATGCAAACTTCCCAGAGTGGCTGGGGCCAGATATTTTTTAACAAATGTGAATGTATGTGCATGTGCACTTAAGTTTAAAGATACATGTTTGTTTGGACGTATTAGAGGAAAAGGATGAAATCAGTTCCTTAAAACTTGTCAATTTTGTTGCTTCCCTTAAATCTCTCTAAAGGGTTTTGTTTGTTTTAATAAGCTGCTGTTGTTAACATTTATATGCCGCCAACCTCCCAATGACTTTTACATTTCATGGGACAAATTGGCTACTTTAAACCTCCCATTTTAAAATTAAATTATTGATAGGGAAAAGCCAAGTCTTATTTCAGACAAATACAGCATCACATGTTTTGATGTGACTTGGATATTACACCAAGATTAATAATTTATCAGTTGATCAGCATTGATAGCTAGGTGATAGATGATAGATAGATAGATAGATAGATAGATAGATAGATAGATAGATAGATAGATGATAGATAGATAGATGGATGGATGGATGGATGGGATAGATAGATAGATAAATAGATAGATAGATAGATAGATAGATAGGATAGATAGATAGATAGATAGATAGATAGATAGATAGATAGATAGATAGATAGATAGATAGATAGATGAGAGAGAGGGGGATAAGTCTTTATGTAATTATTCTAATTTTTTAAAAGAATGATTTGAAGGATGTTTTAAATTACTGTCAATGTAAGTTGCTTTCAGAATTATGGCAGATGACTATAAATCATTGTAATAAATACACATGCTAAATAAATGATTCATATAACTATGTAGCTGAATTGTAGTCCATGTCTATGGATCAAAGTTATGTTCGGTAAAGGATTGGGTGATTTAACATTTTGGTGTATTGACATGCTTTATTGTGCTTTTTTAAAAAGCCTGATTTGTTTCAATACATTCATACTAACATGTTTCACATATGATATGGCTCTAATAAAGTTAATGAGCAGATCTTATCTTATTCTGTGTTTTATATTCACACAGATATCTCCTCTCCTAGTGACAAGTAAAGAGTTGTTTTCACATTTCATGCTCTAAAATGGGGGTGTCAAACTCACAGCGTCACGTTGTCGTCACCTGACACAACTTTTTTCCCATTTGCTAAAATGGGGGTGGGGGTGGCCAGCATGTGACGCATCTGGTCCTTGGGCTGTGAGTTTGATACCCCTGCTCTAAAAGAATTTACCTCAAATTAGTTTGTTCTTCCTATCTCCATTTATATTTCATAATAGAGATTGACCATGCAGTACTCATTTCTTATCGGATTCTACATTTTAAATCACAGTTCTCGTAAAAGACTTGATTGATTGTGTATATGAATCCCTTATGCACCGTAGCATTAAAATGTCAAAGCTTCTTTAATTAAGAAGATTCCCGGTTTGCTGTTTTAAATTAGCCCGGTTGTCTACATTCAGACTTAAATTATAAATCCTAAGACTTGCTTGGACTTGCTAAACTGGCATCTGAGAATTTTTCTTGATCATGAAGCAGTTAGGTTACCCAGCAACATTATTAATAAGCCAGTGCAGACTATGATATATACACTCTTTGCTAATGAAACACTAAATACAAATGGGGACAAATAATACTCCTTTTAAGATATTTCTCGGATCTCTTAGTTTAGGAAGTCAGTTATTGGATTCTAATAGATCGTATTTATTTACCCTGCCATATTTAAAATTGTGCAGACATTCTCTCAACTGCTGGTTATTTTATAGTTTGATTTTACTGCCTTCATCCTTTTTAGATGCCTCTGTGTGCCTGCTTTAGAATCAAGAAACAATAACTAACCATGAGAAATATAACAGAAACTAACAAACATTGTTATCTATTTATTTTAATTTGGTTTCAAAATGACCTTTCTCATTTATGTTGAACATTTGACATTATGTAATAAGCATTAAGAATGAAACAAATGTCTGATTTATTTTGTATGCAAAACCAGAGAAATGTGCATGTGGTGCTAAATATCTACGAATGTTTTCTGATGGATAAGTTAATATATGAATTGACTTAGGAAAATGTTTTTCATACTGGTAGGAGTTAAAAGTCTACCTTGCACTATTATTTAAATGATGGTCTGTTTATCAATGCAAGACAGCAACTACAGTAATGTGTGATGAATATTTATATACAGTGTTTCTCTACAAATTGAAATGGAAGAGAGGTGGTCTCAGCCAGGATACAATATGACTGCAAAAAAGGCATGGAAGGATAATTTCCATATTATGTGGATTATTTATTTTACCTTATTCTGTTCTGGTCTACTTTCTATGTCACATAAAAGATCCAAACCGGTTCCTTCTCTTTTCAGACTACAGGTCACAACATCATGAATTTAAATTACAGGAAGGCAGATTCCAATGAACTGTTAGAATAACCTTCTTAAGGAAAAAACCAGGCAATGGAATTAATTACCCAGAAATTCTATGAGCGTCCCATCATTAAATGTGTTCAACTGGAGGTTAGATAAGACATTTATGTGGGATATCTTGACCTGGCCACTTGTACTAACTGAGTGTTGGACTTCATGGACTAAACGGTCCTTCCATATCGATGATTTGATGGATTAATCAACATTCTGTAATAATAAAAATAGTAACTTGTTTTCAAAATATCTAGGTTTTTATTATATAAATATAAGTTTATGGGTGGAGCAATGACTCTGCGGTTAATAATCTGAGCTTGTCAACTGGAAAGCCAACAGCCTGGGTTTGAAACAGCGGTAAAATC